CTCTGTGAGTTCGAGACCAGCCTAGTCTATAAGAGCGAGTTCCAGAACAGCCTCCAAAGCCACAGAGAAACACTGTCTCAAAAAAACCAAAAAACCAAAGCCAGAACAACAACAACAACAAAACTATTTGGGGGCGGATGGCTCAGCAGTTAAAGATGCTTGCTGCCAAGTCCAATGACGTGAGTTCAGTCCCCAGGACCTACAAGGCAGAAGGAGAGAAATGACTCCCACAACTTGCTCTTTGAGCCCCACATTCACGACACGGTATGCGTGGGTATGCACGTACACAACAAATAATGTGCTAAGAGTTTTCAAATTGCAAAGGTTTATTTCTGAGGCTCCAGCTGTGGTCAGCGTGGTCAGCCAGCTATACTCCCATGGGCTGGAGGTGAGACAGCACCCTGGTAGGACCATGTGGCAGAGCAAAGCTGCTCACGTCATGGCTCACAAGAGTAGAGGAAGTCAGGCAGACAGGAAGCAGTGGAGGAAGATACATCCTCCAAAGGCCTCCCTGCCTCCAGGTCCCTGCTTCTTCCAGCCGGGTCCTATCTCCTACCTTCCCCTGCTTCCTGCTATACCATCAGCCTGGGTGGCCCAGTCTCCTCCCAGAGGCTCCAGCTCTGATTGCTGCCGGGTTAGAAGGCACGCCTACCACACAGGGGTCTTTCGGGGGACACTTCATGTCCAGACTGTAACTCTGCTCCGGGGCTCGTGACAGGCACTGTTCACACTCGCTCTTGGGTATCCAGGTCCTGCTCTGTGGTCCATGCTGGAGATGCTCCAAGGGCATGAAAGAGACATCTGTGAAGTGAGGGCTGTCACCAAAGCACAGGTGGAAGGCACCTCATAGTTGTGCCTGTGACCTCATGAGGGTGATAACCCGACTCTGAGACGCCAAAAAGGCAGAGGTGCAGTAACGGCACAGTCGGCAGGGGCCGTAGGAGACCACCTCCCTCCAGCTCCATAGCACTTCCCAGGCAGCTGACCCCAAAACTGATGGAGAAGGGGACTGGGGAATGTAACCCAGGCCAGCTGAGCAGGTAATGGGCAAAGCCATCCCTAGCTCCTTTAGTCAGAGATCAGCTCTTCTTGAGTCAGAACAAGGGCCAGGTAGAGGTGAGGATCTGGATGACCTCTTGGAAGAGTGATGTGGTCAGATGTTATTGCGGGGGCCGGGGGAATAGCAGGCACAGGGCAGGGGGATGAGTGGGTGGAACAGCTACAGGTGTGGCTGGGCTGGTGGAGCATCACCAGGCTCCAGGCCCCCACTGCAGAAACCCACTACCTTTGAGGGTTCCTGGAGATTCTGGTGTCACCACAGACCTTGACAGATCCATCTGGTGGCCACTGTGGCCAGGCCTTCTGTCCCAAAGGAGAAGAGCTCAGATCGAGAAACCCAAAGGGAAAGCTTTGGAAATAGAGTTAGATGAAAAATAGTTGAATCAAGTTGTGGTGGGGAGTTTTGCATAGCCTTGACTGTTTCTGCGTAGAAGTCCCTTCCTGGAGCTTGGGCAGGGCCAGTACTGTGGGATCCACCCTCCAAGTGCCTCTGGCTGCCCTTTCCCGCCCACCAGGGGAATCCCCAATCCCTGTAGAATAAGTTCTGCTCTCCCCAAATGACAATTTATCAGAAGCATACACGCTGACATGAGGCCTGCCTGGGATGCTCTGAACTCGTGGCCTGCCGCTTTAAGTGAACTTCAGCCCCACAGGTGCTGGGCAGGAGCTGGGGAATCTGAGGCCCCAGCTTTGGGACTGGTAATGGGGGCTGTGTTTACTCCAGGCATCCTGGCCTCCTGGCTCCTCTTTCTTAACTGGTGTCAACTTCGTGTCTTAAACTCCCAGAGGCTGTGTCACAGCATTTTGGCAGAACACTAGCTTTCTGCCCTCTGACCTCACCAAAGATGCTATTCCTTGCAGGGTCACCCCACAAAAATGACCACAATTTGGGCATCTTCCTAAAGGTGGAGACTCAATCAGAGCAAGTCTGGATGGGCTGGCCATAGCTCAGTGCTGGATTGCTTGTCTAGCACGCACAAAACCCTGGATTCAATCCCAGAAGAACAGACCCATAAAAAAATACGAAGACACAAAGGAGAGCAAATGGAAGGCATCTGAGACCCCTCCTGTTTCCCATCTGGCCAGCACGAAGCTCCCAGGGCTAGAAAAATCCACCCTCAGACCAATCTAGGTAGCCATGAACCCCAGCTTCATGCAGCACATCCCTAAACCACCTCAGTCTCAGGTGCACTTCCTTGGCAGGAGTCAAAATGGACCTGCTGGCTCATTGGATGAGGTGTGTGTCAATCATCTAAGGAGCTTGTACATCCACTGGGAGTGAGATAGTGGACAAGCAATATGGGGTGGGGGACAAGCAATATTGGTGGGAAGGGCCTGAGCCACCTGCTCAAGTGTGGTTTCAGGTGAGGCCCAGAGCAGGTGAAGTCAAGCTGTGAGAGCCAGGAGGACTGTGGGGCTGGTCTCACACTGCCCTTCATTCTCTTCCCCACAGGCAGCTGGGAAATAGTGGGTTCACATGGTCTTCAGATGGGCCTGGGAACCCAGGCTGAGTCCTGTTCTTAGCTATAACAAAGACATCTGTGTGGGCTCTGGAGACACCTGCTCTTCATCTGGTCCCGAGGAAGACAACCAGAAAAACACAATGAGCAAAAGTGGAGTCAGCTGACTGCTGTACACAACCATGGGAAAATGTAGCTAACCATGCCCGAGGCGCATGCCTCCGCTTTCCAGAGATGCTGTGTGGAGTTTCATACATCCAAACACACAGGGTCTGAAGCCTTGTTCCTCTCCTTCCGACCTCTCATTCCTCGGGTCATGCTGCCTGCCTCTGTCCCCACAGGGTGCGGTTTTGTTGAGGGACTTAAAAACTGGAATATACCCCCAGAATGGTATTATGTTTACCCTTCTACTCCCTGCCCAGCCACAGAAGTAAGCTCACTTCGTCCGTGCTTTCTTAGAGGTCCTTGGTCAGGCAGGAATGACAAGCAGAGTGCAGTTGTCATGGGTTGTTGTCACGCTGCTAGCTGACAAATGGAGGGACACAGTTTAGCTTCTGTGACCTGCGAGCAAGTGTCCCTGTCGCTCTTAGTCCTCACTGGTCCTGGCTATATGGTTTTGCTGTTGTTGCTATTGTTATGTGAGCAGATAGATGTGCGGCTGTGTTCCACTCAGGGTTGGGTACCTTTGCTTGCTCTGGAGATAAAGGAATGGACCCTCATGTTAGTTCCCAGCTCCATCCACTTTCTACATGACTCCCCTATCCAGACATTTGCTAGTGTGTGTTCAACTTACTGACACCTGAGAGAAGGTGACGCGGGTGCCCATCCCTTGCAAGGATGGGCAGCGAGGGGCAGAGAGGCCCTACAGCAGCAGTCAGCTCCTCTTTGTTTGACCCAGTGCTGTATACTCCCACTTTATTAAAATGTCTGTTCCTGTCTCATGGAAACTGTGAGTAAAGTTCTGTGAAACACCAGAGGGGAAAGCAGAACCCGTCTAACCACACTAGTGTGAGCAGAGAACCTCTATGCAGACACCCTGACCCACCCCTGCATGAATGCATACACATACACATCCCCTCCACGTCCATACTTCCCCTCCAACACACATGTATACACTCTCCTACACACCCCAATACCACGTGCACCCCTCCCTCCACTACACTTAATTCCCTCTTTTCTTCTCTCGACCTCTCCCCTCCCTCCCTCCGTCTCTCTCTCTGTCTCTCACTCCCCCCCCCCGCTCTCTCCTCGTTCCAGAACTCCTGCCCCAGTGTTGAGCAGTATATCCTGAAGACTTCCCCTGGACTCTCATCTCTGAAGTTTCCCTCTGTCCTTTGTGAGGGCGGGTGGGTGTCTGTTGAAGGACCTAAGCTCTTTCAATGCTTGGGGGAGGGGAGGGGAGGGGAGAGAAAGCAGCAGTTGAACATCCTTGGACCTCCCCACAGAGTTCTCCCCCCACCCTCCGGCAGCCCCTGCTTCCTATGCACGGAACTCAGACCACACTCCATCTATTCCTGGGATCTGTGGCCCCAGCCCTCCCCACTCGGCTGCTCCAGGCTGACTCTGCCACGCACTGCATTCCCGTGTTCAGCAACAGCTGGCTGAGCTTAATTAAGCCCCACAGTGCTGGTTCCACCTGGTGAGGAATTAACAACAACAAAACAGCAAACATCAGAGGAGGGGGTAGGTTGGGGCCTCCTGCTTCTTCTAGAGGTGGGAACGGGGCTGGGAATCCTAGCCTCTGCCTTTTCCTCTGTGACAGCCCTCAGATGCATACTGTCACCTCTGAGTCCAGGGAAGGCATCACTGGTCTGGGGATGGTGGGCCTTAGCCTAGTGTCTATATCTTTCTCTGTGCAGGGCAGGCAGCCAGTTTCCCCCTTCAAGGTGAGAGGACTCAGGCTACAGAAGGCCACGACTTAGCCTTCCATGTGTGTCTGCTGAGAATTGCCACATGTGTGTCCATGTAGCCAGCCAGATCATAAGCATGTATGTGGTTCCCAGGGTCCAGTCGGGCGACACATGAGCAGAGACCGAGGATCCCACACAGCGACTCTGCAGAGGTGAGCCATGGATTGGTTGTAGAAGAAGCTGATAGACTTTCCCCCTCAATGTTCCAGTGTCCTGTCAGGGCTGTAAGCAAAGGTGGTGCTGGCTGCAGGACAAAGCAGAGCATGCCTGGTGTCCCGTGGACCCCACTGCTCTTAACTCTGGGCTTGGCAGCGGTGGCTCCAGGAGGGTCCAGAGCATCCACGCTACAGGGCTGGAGCTTAGGAAGGCTGGCCACAGTTATGACTATAGCCATAGGGGATGGGCTACCTGAACCAGGTTAAGAGGCCAAGCAAGGGTGGGGCTTCTGCAGGTGCAGATTCCAGAGGTGTCCAGAGAAGAAGCCACAGCTGGGGGCACTCCAGTTAGATGGCCTGCAGAATGCCAAACTCAGACAGGCCAGCAGGTGCCAAGGCTCCTTGTGCACAAAGACTGGTTCTTCTGGAAGTTTTATTTATAAGGTGTGTACATCTGCTTCCAACACAAGTTTGAGAAATGTCAGGAAACAAAATAGCAGTTGTAGAAACAGCAGATTGTCTACATCATAGATTACTGTACTGTGTTGAGTCCAGGGTCCTGCTCTGAACATCCTGGCACCTAAAGCAACAAGGGAAGGAAGAGGGGCTTGTGAGTTGTATGTTCAGATTTTCAGGGTTTTGTTTTTTCCTTTGGTTAGAGATGTGGGAGTTTGGTAGACAAAGATTAAGTAACCTGTGAAAACCTCAAATGAGGACTTACTCTCTGTGTCAGAATTACCCAACTGCCTTCAGTGTCAAATGTATTGGAATAAAGTTGTTCAAGATATTGCCATTTTCCTTTTGTTTGCATTTAGGGGAAATTCCTGTGTGTTCTGTTCCTGCTGGGTGAAGGGCCCTATTAATATCAAGTAAGTCGTGGTGGTTGAAACATTGTCTTTAGCTCTTTCTTCTCCTCATCCTCCCCCTCCTCCTGATTTTCCATCTATATATATGATGGGGATGCTGAAATCTCCAACTGTGACTCTGAGTTTGTCTGTTTCCCTTTAGATCTGCCTAGTTTTGCTTCATGTATTTTGAATCTCTCTCTCCTCTTGTTTTGTTTTTTTTTTTCTTGTTTTGTTTTTTAAGAAAGGTTTCTCTGTGTATTCCTGGCTGTCCTGGAATTCTCTTTATAGTCCAGGTTAACTTTGAACTCATAGAGACCTGCCTGCCTCTGCCTCCCAAGTGCTAGGATTAATGGCATGGGCCGCCACTGCCCAGCTTTGGAAATCTGAGCAAACTCATTTATAACTGTGTTTCTTCCTTATGAATTCATACCTGATGCGTTCCTCTTCATCTCCAACAGTGTTTGTCTGGACTCTGCTCTGTCCACTATTAGCATAACCATTCCCGATTTCCTTTCCTTTACAATGTTTAAAAGGTGTGCACACCATATCTATCACCATGCACAAAACTTAAGTCCAGGGGGCTGGAGAGATGGCTCAGAGGTTAAGAGCACTGGCTGCTCTTCCAGAGGTCCTGAGTTCAATTCCCAGAAACCACATGATGGCTCACAACCATCTGCAATTCAATCTGGTGCCCTCTTCTGGCGTGTAGACAGAACACTGTATATGTAATAAATAAATAAATCTTTGGCCAGGTGGTGGTGGTGCACGCCTTTAATCCCAGCACTCGGGAGGCAGAGGCAGGCGGATCTCTGGGAGTTCAAGGCCGGGCTGGACCGATAGCCTCCAAAACAATACAGAGAAACCCTGTCTCGTAAAAACCAAAAAAACAAAAAACCAAAAAAAAAAAAAAAACAACTTAAGTCCAAAAGGAACAAAGACCTCAATATCAATCCACCCACACTGAATCTCTTAGAGGTGAAAGTGGGAAGTATCCTTGAACAAATTGATACAGGAGACCACTTCCTGAACATAACACCAGTAGCACAGACACTGAGATCGACAATTAATAAATGGGACCTTCTGAAACTGAGGAGCTTCTGTAGGGCAAAGGACACAGTCAGCAAGACAAAATGACAGCCCACAGAATGGGAAAAGATATTCACAAACCCCACATCTGACAGAGGGCTGATTTCCAAAATTTACAAAGAACTCAAGAAGCAAGTCTCCAGAACACCAAAGGATCCAATTAAAAAGTGGGGTACAGAACTAAATAGAGAATTCTCAATAGAGGAGTCCAAAATGGCCAAGAGACACCTGAGAAAGTGCTCAACATCCTTAGCCATTAGGAAAATGCAAATCAAAACAACTCTGAGATACCATCTCACTCCCATCAAAATTGCTAAAATCAAAAACACTAGTGACAGTTTATGCTGGAGAGGATGTGGAGAAAGGGGTACACTCCTCCACTGCTGGTGGGAATGCCTACTTGTGCAGCCACTTTGGAGATTGGTATGGAGATTCCTCAGGAAAATCGGGAAAATGGAAATCAGTCTACCACAAGATCCAGCAATTCCACTCTTAGGCATATACCCAAAAGATGTACCCTCATACAATAAGGACATCTGCTCAACTATGTTCATAGCAGCATTATTTGTAATAGCTAGAACCTAGAAAGAACCTAGATGCCACTCAACTGAAGAGTGGATAGAGAAAATGTGGTACATTTACACAATGGAGTACTACTCAGCAGAAAAAATGGAATCTTGAAATTTGCAGGCAAATAGATAGCACTAGAAGAAACCATCCTGAGTGAGGTAACCCAGTCACAAAAAGACAAGTATGGTATGTACTCACTCATACATGGATTTTAGACATGGATCAGGGCACTGCCAGCCCACAATTCCACTGCCAGAGAGTCTGGGGTGCAGGGAAGACCCTAAGAGAGATATACATGGTAACCCAGAGAAGGGTTACAGGATGAGCTCTCCTAATTGGATTGTGGGGAGAATGGGAGGGTAGAAGGAGATGGGAGAAAGAGAGGGAGAAAAGAGGAGAGAGGAGGACATGGGAGAGCAGGAAGGTTGAGCCAGGGTAAGAATAGAAAAAGGATGGGAGATACCATAAAAGAGGAAGCCAGTATAAGTTGGAGGAGAGATCTGACACTAGTGAGATCTTCACAGATCTATAAGAATGACACCAACTGGCATTAAGGCTACCTTAAATGCCCTCCCATGATAATGAAAATGATGACTACCTTATATGCCATCCTAGAACTCTCACCCAGTGGCTGATGGAGGCAGAGGCAGACACCCACAGCTGTGAACCGAATTGAACTCCTGGAACCCAGTTGCAAAGAGGAGTGATGACCAAAGGAATCAAGATCAGGCTGGCAAACCCACAGTGGCAGCTGACCTAAACAAGAGGGAACACATGGACCCCATACTGATGACTGAGGGGCCAGCATTAGACTGATCCAGACATCCCTCCCACTGACCTGGGTGATAGAGAGGAGGTCTTGGCAATCTGTGGGACCTTGGAGAGTAGAGCAGTATTTATTCCTGGCATACAGATGAACTCTGGGAACCCATACCATGTGGAGGGATGCTCTCTCAACCTGGACACATGGGGAAGAACCTAGGCCCTTTCCGGGATGATGTGACAGACTCTGAAAATCCCTCATGGAAGCCCTTACCCTCCCTGGGAATCGGAGGGGGGATGGAGTGGGGATGAGGGGTTGGGAGGATTGGGGGGTGGGGGAGGAGGGGAGGGAACTGAGAGTGACATGTGTAAAAAGTTAAATAAAAATATGAAAAAAGGTGCGTGCGTGTTCGTGTGCAGGTGGCCACTCAGGTGCATGCACACCACAATGTCACAGCGTGTGTGTGGAAGTCAGTGGACAACTTTCATGGGTCAGTCCTCTCCCTCCACTGTGAGAGTTTGAGGGATGGAACTCAGGTTATCAGGCTTAGTGGCAAGCACCGTTTTCCCATTGAGCAATTTCACTGGCTCTCCTTTTCTTTTTTGTTTTGGGTATCCAACCAACTCAGGGCTTCTAACATGATAATCTGGTTGAACCATACACTCCAGTCTTTCAACCTCTGCTTTTTAATTTTATATTTAATTTAATTATTAGCATGATTGAGTTTAAACTACCTTGCTATTTGTTTGAATTATTTAGTTATTCTGTAACACTGCTTTTATTTAGGAGCTGTACCTCTTAGCTTCTCTTACTTTTGACAGCTGCTCTAAGGCTCATGATGTCTTTGCTTTGGGTTCATATCCCATCTTACTGAACTGATCTGATGCTATGAAAGGAAATGCTACCACAGTGCCTCTACTCTCCTGTCTTGTGTTGGAATCACACACATTCCTTCTGCCGATACCCCGTTCTCCACCCACCAGATGCCATTATTTCCATTTTGATGTCATCTGAAGAGGACTTTGTGTTGTCACATTCCAGATTTCCCATGATTTCCTTCCTGGGTTGGTCTGAGGCTCTATACACCATCTTCTCTCTGTCTTGAAGTACTTCTCTGTGGTTCCTACACACATGTCTGCTCTGATGGGCTTCCTTGGATTTTATTTGCCCCAAAATGCTTTATTTCAGCTTAACTCTTGAAGGGTGTTTCATTTTTCTTTGTTCATAGGTTTGTTTCAACATTTTAAAGACATTCTCCTGCTGCCTTCTAGTTTGCATGGCTTCTGATTAGAAGTCGTTGGTATTCCTTTCCACACTCCCCTGTCTGTGACACACCTGTTTTTCTCTACCTGCTTCTGGGGTGTTAGCAGTTTGTCCGTGATGTGCCTGCCTTTTAGTTTTATGTCACATGACCTTTATTTATTTGTGGATTGATATTTTTCATTTGCTCAGAATCTCTGTCCTGTCCTCCCAGGTCCTGATCACAGGCATTGGACACTGCTTGGACTTCTTCCACAGGTGACAGGATTTTGTTGCTCTGCTTTTAAGACAGGGTCTCATGTAACCCAGGATGACCTCAAATTTAGTCAGTTGCTGAGGGTGACCTTGAACATCTGATCCTCCTGTAAACATCCTGAGTTCATGTCTGGTTTATATAGTGCTGGGGATCGAATCCAGGGCTTCATGACTGTTAGACAAAGGCTGAAACATATCTATAGCCCTGTTGAGTTTTTCTTAAAGCTCTGTTGAGTTTTTAAATTTGTGCTTAAACTTGTGTTTTTAAAAATGGATCTATCTTCATGTCTACTCATCATTTTTTTTCCAAACCACTGCTCACCTGTCTTTCAAATCTTCCTCTTTTAATTTCAACATCTGGGTCACCTCTCTCTGGGTCTGTCCTCTGAGATCTTTTCTATAGAGAGGGTGATATTTGTTCCAGCCATGAAGCCTGACCTGGCAAAACTGTTTTTGAACCTGTTAACAAAAGAGGTTACTTGGCACTTCCTGTGCTAGAGCCATAACCATTCTGCTCTCAAGACTTGCCTTCCGGGGCCACCAGCCAGGATCTGCCTTCCGGGGCCATCAGCCAGGATCTGCCTTCCGGGGCCATCAGCCAGGATTTGCACTCCAGGGGCCATCAGCCAGGATCTGCACTCCACCCGTCTGCGTGGTCACGGTTGCCACATCACCTCTCTACCCCTGGTGGCAGGTCTGGAAGGGCCTCTGCATTTCTACTCTTGTCACATGTGGCTCCAGGGAACTCCTGTGTGCAGCTCTGGGGACTCTTATTTGCATAGCTTCCTCTCTCTACAC